AAAAAAAAAAAAAAGAGGGTTGAGGTGTTTTTATGCTGTCTCATCTTCTCCAGTGGTGTTTGGCCTATTCTACCTTTCTCAGAATATAAACCTGAAAGGAGGGAATCTTCTCCTGAAACCTTTAGGTTGGCACTATCATTATTCTTAGGTTGGTTAGCATTCTGTTTTTTCCTCCTTAAATGAACACCAAAGAACACTAATTCAGAATTTTAAAGATTACCAAATCTTATGGATAAAAGTAGCATTGGTGGTTGCAAGTACTCAGCTGAAATTAAAGGAGTTATCAGTCTTGCTCTGGGAAACAAGGTGACCAATCAACTTGTTTCAGAAAAACTACCTCTCCCATTCCAGTGATTAGTTAATAAAATTATTCCTGACAGTGGCAGGCCAAGAAGCTCAGGCAGTTACATATTTAGAGACAGAGAACACATTGTCCAAAGATCTCAGAAGAGCCTTTGCAAACACACAGAAAGGATTTAGAACAATTTGCATAAATCTCCCTGTGGATAGTGCCATGGCCCCGGTATTAGGGTGGTTCCAGGAACCCCTCCTTGGCTGTATCATGGGGTGACGCTGTGCTTGGTGAGAATTCAGTCTCATGACGGTTTTTGCCAGCAGGATTGGGTGATGGGACACTGAATAAGCCCACTGTTTGGTTCCACATAAGGACTCTTTTGTGTTAGCCTGGGGTAGCCATATTCAAGTTTGTCTTGCTTTTTCCCCACTAATGTTTTTGGACTTTGTGGGCTGGGGAATTAAGCACAACACCTATTCTGAGCTAATCTGTCAAATTTTGTTCTTGAAGGGTAACCGTAGCCCCTTGTATTTCGAGAATGTGGAGAATAATAGTCATACCTTTGGAGACTTCTGACTTCTGAAATTAAAAGTCGGGGAAAGGAGGAGAGCTCACATGGCATGCCCAGATAGGCGTTCATGCGTATTCCTGGCGGAACTGTGGGAAGTAATTCCCTTGGTTGTTAATATGATTTGCCTTGTTCACTAACTTCCTTAAGAACTATGTTCTCTTGCATAGTTAACAAACAAGTTGTACTTTGATATTTAATATTCCTCTATGAAAGGGTATGGGTCACTTTGGTGTGTAGTTTAAAAAATGCCAGGTGATTCCAAATCTGTTTCAGCTTTTCTTTTTTTCTACTTATTTTTTGGAAAAAATGATATTCATTAGACCACATATTAAGAGCTTTACTGGTTTCTTGTACAGCCTGTTATCATTCTAGAAGCCACATAAGGAGTCCAATTTAAAATCCAGGGAGCAGTTTATGCACTGGGGAAATTTGGTGCTCTAACTACAAAAATGAAATCCACTAATTTCTAACCTGGAGTTTATTTTCTTTCAGTCTGCTAGCTTGATGTCTCAGCTTTGTTCTAATAATATAAACATTTTTATGTTTATTTATAGGTGGTTTTAACCAAGAGAGCAGATCCAGCTGAGCTTAGAACAATATTTTTGAAGGTCAGTATAAAAGAATCTATTTTGTTTCTTATTTGATTTGTGTTCTCAAATTTTTAAAGATTATTTTCAAACAGCTCTTTATTTCATTGTTATATTTTTTGAAAAAATCCCCAAAGGTATCTTTACATAAGACTTAGGAAAGAGATCTGTTACAATTATATGTATTTTTTGAAATGCATCAGAAACTAGTAGGTGATTGTTTGTGATGGTAATATGGTTTACATTGTAATTCCTTTTCTCTCATATGGTGTCAGATACTGGAAAGGAGTTGCTGGGGCATTTAGTCTTACAACTCATTTACCTTTCCAGGATTCACCTGTGCGGTTTGATGATCATGCTTTTTCTCCTAAGATGTTTAAAGCTCTTTGTAAAATTCCCATGATCCTTCATCTATCCGGAGACAACTACCCTTGCCTCTCTTTGTAGAAACCCATTGTTGTCACCCTCATTGTCATTACCCTCATTTAATTGCAACTGTAGTGCCAGGTGAGGAGCCCTCGGTGTGAGTAACAGTACATATTAGATCACAACAGATATCACATATTTCCTTGGTGTCTTACATTTCCCCTAGGTTGTGACATTGGGCAGTGAATGAATGATACTCTAATTAAAAGTCTACCTCGGGTCCCAGACGGTGAACCACATGTAATGTTACTCACCTGGAATTAAAGGACTCAGAAAAGGACACTTTTATAAAGATCATTTTAAAAGCATATATGTGAGCCTTTTCTAAACATGATGGAAAACCAGCTGTGCTGTACAGACAGAGGACCAGGGCTTCAAATGAGAAACTTGACTGTCTGTCATGTCCCAGATAATATGGCTCAGAAAGTTACCAATGCTGTGAGCATCACTTTCCTCATCAAATTGTGTTACTATTAAAAAATACCAAGAAATCAGAGAATTTGAACACTGACAGGGTTATCTGGTGTTAAGGAATTGTTACTGATTGATTTTTAGGCCGGATGATGGTATTCTTATTACGAGAGCTATAAAGAGTTTTTTTCTCTTAGAGATACACACTGAAGTATTTACAGATGAGATTATGATGTCCGAGATTTGCTTTTAAATCGTCCAGTTTTGGTGAACTATGGTTGGTGTGGTGATGGTTTTTGAAACTGGTAGATGGATCATTACGTTTCTTACCCTGTTTTCTCTATATTGTACATGTGTGAGCATTTTCATAACAAGTTACAAAAATTTTTAAAGATGCAGTGAAAAAACTTGGATGAAAGTGCCCAGCACCTGATTTGCATTAGATACTGATTCAGTAAATGCTTGAAATTAAATGATTCAAACACGAGAGAGAGAGAGGCTTCGAAAGGAAATGGTTAAAAATATGAGCAGTTTTTGGGGGAGGAAACGGGATAGATTTGTGAGGAGGTTTGGATTATGTGTAAGAAAGTAGAGTTGTTTATAAATTTGGTTTTAGCCCAAGAGGACAACACTATGTAGAGATTCTAAGGTAGAAAAGGATTCTAGAGAATGAAAAGGACAGGAAACAGAAATGCTTTGTTTCTCACCTTGGCCTAGTTGTTGCTCTGCATTCGGGGCCCACCATAACTGGGATGAGGTGTGTATGAGGGAACCATAGACATTGTTAGTATGTATATTTAAGGTCTATATTATAAAACTCTTACGATGTAATTCAGGAAGACCTCTTGCAGGAGAAGAGCATGTGAGCGGGCTGCCAGAGAGCCTAGAAAAATGGATAAAGCTCATTAACTTGACCTGGCAAAGTCATAATCATTCTTTGAACTCTATTACTTCGGTTTAGCAATAGTTGTGGGCACCCTTCTGACAGGAAATGGGGACAGCTCAGAGTGTCTTAATAGGTGGCGCATCGTGGATACCTACTGGTCTTTTGGCACGATTTGGTGGAAAGGCTCCAGGTAAAAGCTGCGTCTACCTTTTGAGGCCACATGGCAGCTGGCGAGGTTAGTTTAAGATCCTACTTTGGAACAACGTGTCTTTTCCAGCTGCTCCATGTCAACAGCAGGCAGGTCTATGGTGGAGCCAAATATTGGTCAGGGAGACCAAAGGAGGGTAGGAATTGCATGCAGAGTTCTGGAGAGTCACCTGTGAGATTTCTGTGGATGTGGGTCTGAGGGCTGGGGTGGAGTCTTTGGGACCAGCTAGGCAAGTGCTGTCTTCTCTTGGGGTGGCTAAGACAACGTAGCTTTTGAGTGAGAGTGTGGCTTTGAGTCCAAGGGGACGATGGGGCCAGGAAGGGGGGCAGGGGCTGTCTGTGAAGAAAACAGCGATCAGCAGTTTCTGGAAGGGATTGTGGATCTGGCAGAGGTTCGGGTGATCTCATAGGGCCTGGGCAGTGTAGTACCAACACAAATCCACCTTGGCTCAGCATGCGGGGGATCTCTTGTTTACCATCTGGCACAGATGGTGTTGTGGTGGGAGGAGAATAGGGATCGGGCTTGTGGGGGCTGTGCCAGGCACGTCTCCACTGTGGCTGGTCTTTCTAGTTATGTATGGATCAGCAGTAAGCACTCTATAAACCTAACTACTTTGCTGACTCTCTGTGACTTTTTCCTGGCTTTTCTTCCTAACAAATACCTACCTTTTGTGTATTAAACTAGTTAGAAGGTGCTTCTGTAGGGGCGCCTGGGTGGCTCAGTTGGTTAAGTGACCGACTTTGGCTCAGGTCATGATCTCGCAGTTTGTAGGTTCAAGCCCCGTGTTGGGCTCCGTGCTGACAGCTCAGAGCCTGGAGCCTACTTCAGATTCTAGGTGTCCCCCTCTCTCTACCCCTCCCCTGCTCATGCTCTGTGTCTCTCTGTCTCTCAATAATAAATGAATGTTAAAAAAAAAAAAAGAAAAAGAAGATGCTTCTTTTTCTTTTTTTTTTTATTTTATTTTTTTTTTTTCAACGTTTATTTATTTTTGGGACAGAGAGAGACAGAGCATGAACGGGGGAGGGGCAGAGAGAGAGGGAGACACAGAATCGGAAACAGGCTCCAGGCTCTGAGACATCAGCCCAGAGCCCGACGCGGGGCTCGAACTCACGGAGCGCGAGATCGTGACCTGGCTGAAGTCGGACGCTTAACCGACTGCGCCACCCAGGCGCCCCAGAAAAAGAAGATGCTTCTGTAGCTTGGGGGAAGTAGACCTCTGGACCAGATGTGCCAATAGCAGGGAGTTGGCAACTGCGGAGGTCAGAGAGAGCCAGAGGATCTGGGAGAGATAAGGAAAGCGGGGTCCTGGAGGACTGCACTGGGCCCAATTCTGACTTACTTTGTTTTATCCTTAAGAACGATTCAAATCAATGCCACTTTCTTCTTTCTTTTTTGGGAAGGGAGTTGCTTACTGTGTGTTAAGTACAGTGTTAAGCGTTGGGAATATAAAGATGCATAATTCATGGCCCCTGCCGTTTACTATTTCACTGTGTGTGAGTGTAGAAAAAAGCCATAACATGGTTGATAAGCATTATATGGCCTTAATTAGTAGGAAGCTGATGTGGGGCTAATTACATCTTGCTAGCAAGGGTCATTGAAGTTACAGAGAGGTTGTGGTGTCTCAGCTGGGCTAGACAATGAGTAGGTACTTATCAGATGGAGGAGGTAGTGGAGGGTTGTGGGGCAGAGGAAGACTGTTCTGGGCAGAGGAAACAGCAGGTGTGAAACAAAGGTTTCACTCAAAGTTCTGTGAGAGTGCCAGGTGGGGGGGTGGGCTGCAGCACAGGCCCCTGGGCAGTGCACTGGGATGGTGGGTAGGACGGGACTTGGTATAGGTCACTCCTAGCCCGAGGCATTTATTATGCAGCCTGTTCTGGTGATAAGTGGGTGGCAACATTTTGTCTGGGTGTGGAAGTTGAAGTCTAGGTGTGCTCAGTTTTGCTTCTAACCTAAATGTTGACATGCGTTTTTTGCCTGCCTGACACTTCTGGTGCTCCTTCGTGTTAATTTGGACAGATGCACTGAGTGCTTACAGTTTAAATAAAGCTCCCAGAAAGTTTGCAGTGAGTAGGATGTGCAAAATAAGTATAAGCTGGGACCATGTCTTCAAGGAGATCAGCTTGTATACAAGAGGCCAGATTTACAGGCATGCAGCAGGTAAGAAAGAATGTAGGTTGACCTACAGGTATGTGGTTTAAAAATGCCACAGGAAATGGAGAGAATGGTCCCCATGGTGGGGAGTGGTCAGAGGAGGCTCCTTGGAAAGGGAACTTGGGGAGCCCCGGGATGAGTGGGGCTGGAGAGGCAGGGAGGAGGGCAGGTGGGGAGTTCCTGGGGAGAGGGCCACATTTGACAGAGGCCTGGAAATGGGTTTGGGAGCAGACAGCCTCTCTAGGTTGAAGGATTCTTGCTCCTTCTTCAAATGTTTATTTAAATTCAGCCTTGTGCCAGGGAGTCTGCCAAGCATTACAGGGTGTGGGTGACAAAATTAGAAAGATAATTGGGAATTTGGCGTGTCTGCTGAACAATAGGAAGCCATCGGAGGTTTTCCGAGTCATCCAGTGACACTGGCAGGATGGGTTTGAGATTTGGTTGGTAGTGCAGGCCTGTGAGTTTGGCAGTGTTGGGTGCAACCCTGGTGTGAGGCCCTAAAGACTTGATTGGGGTTGTGGTGGCAGGGGAAATGGCGAGTGGGCAAGGTAAAGACATTTTGAAGGACTGCTTGATGAAAATGGTCTTGTGTGATGAGTGAGAGGGAACAGGGGATAAATATGACCATTGCATATACCGTCTGGGTGAGAGAGGTGCCAGTAATTAAGAATGGGGAAATTGAGAAGGAAACCATTAGCTCAAGAGAGACCAAAGCGGGTGATACCTAGCGTTTACAAGTACAGAGGTGGACGTAGCTGAATGCCTGTAGTGTAAGATGTGGGAGGTGGGGGGGCGCCTGGGTGGCACAGTTGGTTGAGCGTCCGACTTCAGCCAGGTCACGATCTCGCGGTCCGGGAGTTCGAGCCCCGCGTCGGGCTCTGGGCTGATGGCTCAGAGCCTGGAGCCTGTTTCCGATTCTGTGTCTCCCTCTCTCTCTGCCCCTCCCCCGTTCATGCTCTGTCTCTCTCTGTCCCAAAAATAAAATAAATAAACGTTGAAAAAAAAAAAGATGTGGGAGGTGGGAAAACTGGGTAAAGGGACTAGACAAGGGGAATAGGCCATATTACAGTTTGTAATAATAATACATAGTGGGTTGCACTCGGGTTTTTATAATGATTCTTTGTCAACAAAACATGTGTATTTAAAATTTGTGTTAACAAAATTGGAAAAACTTCTTTTTTGAAAACTATTGAAGTGAAAACCTTTATATTCATTGACGAAAATTGAAAAAGCACAAGTGTGTAAAGAAAAGTAACTTGTGATTCCACCCAATAGATACAATCTATGTTTATATATAAGTGTGTATTTTATATACCTATCTCTGTGTATGTATGTAAATCTTTTTTTCCTTAACAGGAGAAAAAATACCGTTTTATCCAGTTTTCCTCCTCACCTGATGCGTTAGGAAACCCTTTTCCTGTCATTGATCGCATTTCTACAGTATTTTTAGTGTTGTGTGCTGTTCCACATACAGTGGTTTTACTCTCGCTCATCTAGCGGCTTCCTGTTATTGAAGGCTTAGTTGTCTTGTCTCCTGTGCTAGCAGTAATGCTAGTTCAATACTCTTGAACCTGCATTTTTGCATATAACTTGTGTATGTTTAATCATATTAAAACTTAAAAAAAATTGTAAGGAAGAGAGGCTTCAGGTCACTTGTAAAATCTGTTCCCAAAGAAGAATCCGTGGTAGCTGCAAAGTCCACTCCCCTGACAGGGGCCCCTCTGTTCCCTGCTGCAGGAGCAGTGGAGCACCTTTGTCAATATATTCTTATTATGATCGGTCTGTCCATCAATTGAAGGAACAACCTTTGATATTTTTACTATAATCACAAAGCAGACTACTGCAGCCTCGGTGATGAGCTGGTTTTGCAAACTGAAGGAAACTGTTTTCTGTAACATGTTCTTACATTTACAAAATTATTTATCACTTCCAAAAAATGGGGCAGAAAATATCTCAATGATTTTCTTTTTTTTTTAATGAAAACTATTGAGGTATGAATCAAGTGCACAAGTCATGAATGTACCGCTCCATTAACATTCACGAAGGGAGCACACCTATGGAACCAGCACCCCAGGAACCATCCGATGCCCCTTCCAGTCACTACGCACCCCTCCTAAGGGTAACCAGTTGTTTGGCTTTCAACTTTATGTAAATGGAATCATACACCATGTTTTCTTGTGTCTCATTTCTTTTGCTCTTGCTCTAGTTGTTCAGATTCATCCTCGTTGTGTGTGGTTGTTTATTTTCATTGCTGCATTATATGCCATTGTGTGACTGTCCTACAGTAGTTCATTTACATATCCTACCGTTGGTTGACATTTGAGTTATTTTTCATCTTTTTGCTATCCAAAATAATGCTTCCGTGGACATTAAAATGCTAAAGTACGTTTTTATTCTTTCTATATATGTATATACATATGTGTGTATGTACATATACATAAACACCACATATGTATATATACACACGTTACTTTTAGACATACTTGTGATCAAAATTGCTATTTCTATGGTTGTCTGTTCAGTTAGAGTACATATTCCCAAGCAGCATTCTAAAGTGGTTTAACAAGTTTACTCTTATAACACCAGTGTATGAGAATTGCATTTGCTCCAGATTTTTGCCAACACTTGTTATTACTTTTTTTTTTTCAACTTTTATTTATTTTTGGGACAGAGAGAGACAGAGCATGAACGGGGGAGGGGCAGAGAGAGAGGGAGACACAGAATCAGAAACAGGCTCCAGGCTCTGAGCCATCAGCCCAGAGCCTGATGCGAGCCTGACGCGGGGCTCGAACTCACGGACCGCGAGATCGTGACCTGGCTGAAGTCGGACGCTTAACCGACTGCGCCACCCAGGCGCCCCATTATTACTTTTTAATTATCCTGTGTATGAGTTAGAGGTATGGCATTGTAATTTTATTTCGCACTTTCAGTAGAATTTTTTTTAGGGGTCAGCAGCTTGACAATGATTCTAAAGGTCATTTCGGGGAAAACCAAAGAGTGATCATGGCCCAGAAAATTCCCAGGACGGAAGTAGTGCGTGCCTTCATTCGACAGATATTTATTGAACATGTTTCACTCTCTGCCTGCCACCAGTCCGAGATGTTGAGGATGCTGCAGTGAGAAAGGCAGGAGAAAATCTTGCCCTGACAGAGCTTTCCCTCTAATTGTAGCAATTAAGATGCATGTAATCTTGCAAGGATTCCTGGTGCAGGGATGACAAGAACTGTCAGCCCGTCCGGCATTCCTTCCTGGAGTTTGGCAGCCACCTCGGAGGAGAGCCTCTGTCTACCTTAGGGAGCCATTCATTGCCAACTGGTCAGAAATGGTGTTGAAGATGGACTTACTTGCCAAGCTGTTCCCTGATGACCATATGATAATCAGTATGTGTTGAACATGTCATAAGAATGATTTCATTTGTGCTCCTGGGACAACCGAGAAATTAAGTGGGGAAAACTAAAGTTGAAGGATCCTGACCTCAAACCACGTGAAAAATCAAGTACCAATGTATTGAAACTTAAGAGATAAACCTACTTGAAAAAAGCCCAGAGAAAATATGGGTGAATATTAGTCTTGAGATGAGGAAGGCCTAGTTTCTAGACTTAGAAGTAATAGAAGGAATTGCAAAGGTGGAAAAAAATCTGTAGGCTCAATTATATAAAAATACCAAACTGGAAAAATGTTTGCAACAAATCTGAGAGACAAAGGACGGGAGAAAGGGCATGGTCCAGCACTGCTGGTGGGAGTGTAAATTGGTACAATCTTTTCTGGAGAGCAGTGTGATAATAAATATCAAGAGCCTTCAAGTTCCTCTCCTTTGACTCAACAATTTCTCTTCCAGAAGTCTACCCTTTGAAGATTGTTAGGAATTCGGATAATTGTTATGTGCGAAGCCAGTTACCTTAGCTTTATTTAGAAATAACCTAAACATCTACTGGTGGGAGAAGAGTGAAATTGCATTTTAAATAAATTAATTATTCACCACTATGAGCAAACATAGGTATAAGTCTAAATCATAGGATCGCTGTAATAATTAGCAGCAACATTCCCTTTATATTTCTTATCCTTTTTTGCCTCAGGAAAATCAAAATCTAATTCTTCTGCATTTCCAAAAAGCCATTTCAATGCTAACTGAAGAATACTGGGATTCTTGGACCATTTTTGAGCTTTTCTTTTGTACCATGCTAGAAAATGTTCAAACTGATAATACAGAACATTTATAAAGTGCTTATTGTGTGTAGCACATTGTGCTAAGTGCATTACATGATTATTCATTTATTTCTAGCATCAACTTTATGAAGCAGGTAATGTTGTTACCCCCATTTCATAGGTCAGGAGCTAGAGACCCAGAAAGCTTTACTTCCCTGAGGTCGTACAGGTGGCAAGAGGTAGAAGCAGAGCTCGGTGCAGGCTCAGCTCAGGCCTGAGGGACTCCAAAGCTTGTTACTGAGTATCTAAGCAAGAGTTTATCCTGCATTGGAATTAAAATGTAGAAATAACAAGGACTTTTAAAAACAATTTTTATATTTATTTATTTTGAGGGGCGGAGAGAGGGAGAGAGAGAGAAGGAGAGAGAGAGACTCCCAAGCAGGCTCCTTGTTGTCAGCACATCGGCTCAGTTGAGCACATGGGCTCAATCCCATGAATGGGGAGATCATGACCTGAGCCTAAATCAAGAGTTGGTCACTTAACTGACTGAGCCACCCAGGTGCCCAGAAACGGTTTTAATGGGACTTGCTGCTGGAGCTGCAGAGGGAGTGGAGGTGCTGTCATCAGCACTTTATGCCACTGTGCTCCCCACATCGTCCATTGTGGTTCCTGTCACCCATCCAGCCTTGTTCTTCCTGTAGCTCACAGTCCTCACTCCCCCACCCCCAAATCACTCTTCTGTCCCCAGGATCAAGAGGTCCTCTCCTGCTCCATAAGGATACCATATGATCCCATGTTGTTTCTCAGCACTTCCCACGGCCCGAGGGACTCCACGGAACAGGAATGAGCAGGTTCCTGCTTTCAGGAGTTGGACTGTGTCGCCAAGGCAAGAGGAACACTGTGATCAGGCATTGGGTGCCACCTGTCTCTCGTTGACCACTTCCACTCTAGAGCACCCTTTCACATATTCTTCTGTGAAATCCCACAGAAAACCATGCAGTTCATAGTTTGCTTTCTAGTTTAGCCTGTTTGTCCTCCTTTCCTGCATTATTGATTTCCTTGAAACAGGAATAGGGGCAAAAGAATTAGGTCGTTTCCATCCATGATTTTATAATTAATTGTTTTTTTGGTTTTTTTTTTTTTTCTATGTCCTTGCCAAAAACAAGATGTAATTTGTTTTTCCAAATTTCTGTAAGCCAGAAATTTTCATTCTCATTCTCAGCACTGATGACGTTTGGGGCTGGATCACTCTGGTGTAAGGGGTCACCCTGTGCCTTGTAGATGTTCAGCAGCCTCCCTGACCTCTACAACTAGATGCTAGGAGCCTCCCTCCCCCCTGGTTATGACAGTCATAATTTGTCATCAGACACTGTCAGATGTTCCCCTGTGAAGAAAAATAGAAACAATGGAGGAAGTACCAAGCTAGAGAACACCCTCCCCGTCTCCTGCCCACCAAAGACAGGTGACATATAGAAAAGACTGGTCCTCATAGGTGGACTTGGCTATTAGGGGACATCGGTGTTTGTAAGCTGGACAGTCAAGCTAACCTGCCCTCAGTTGAGAACCACTGTTATGAACCTAAATCTTGGCAGACTTCATGTGTTTTTGTTTTTTCTATGAAGTGTTGGGAAATAACTGTCCTTGGGAAGAGTAGATTATCTTATCTGATGTTTTATCCTTTGAATATTTTCAGCTTTTTCAAATATTGATCTCATGATTATATGCTTTTGAGGGTAAAATATCTTTTCTCTTTTTTCCTATACAGTATGCAAGCATTGAAAAAAATGGTGAATTTTTTATGTCTCCCAATGACTTCGTCACTCGATATTTGAAAATTTTTGGAGAAAGCCAGCCTAATCCAAAGACTGTGGAACTTTTAAGTGGTGTAGTGGATCAGACCAAAGATGGGTATGTTGGTCATTTTATTTATTTTTTTGTTCAACAGAGCTTTCTGTTGTTTTAAAGATTAAGAAGTCACTGAATACCTTCCCATCTCTTAAAAGCATTTTCTCTACCTATTAGAATTAATTCATTATTTTAGAAATAATACCTTTAACATTTCCTTTAAAGTCCTTATCACAATTGACGATTCTGTGTGTGTATTTTTTTTTTTTTTGACGGTAAAGTGGCTTATAGTTCCAGAGACTTTTTAAAAAAATTGTTTTTTTTAATGTTTGTTTATTTTTGAGACAGAGAGAGACACAGCATGAGCAGGGAAGGGGCAGAGAGAGAGGGAGACACAGAATGTGAAGCAGGCTCCAGGCTCTGAGCTGTCAGCACAGAGCCCGATGCAGGGCTCGAACTCCCGAACTGTGAGATCATGACCTGAGCTGAAGTTGGACGCTTAACCGACCAAGCCACCCAGGCACCCCCCAGAGACTTTTCTTTTAACATTTGTTTATTTTTGAGAGACAGAGAGAGAGTGAGTGGGGGAGGGGCAGAGAGAGAGGGAGACAGAATCTGAAGCAGGCTCCAGGCTCTGAGCTACCAGCACAGAGCCCAACGCGGGGCTCAAACCCAGGAACCATGAGATCATGACCTGAGCTGAAGTCAGATGCTTAACCAACAGAGCCACTCAGGCGCCCCTATAGTTCCAGAGACTTACTATAGTTGATGACTGGTGTGAGATATACCAGAGTGTTTGTATGTATACTGGTATTTTTCAAGGGAACTGTAAAAATTGTGAGTAAATGTAAAACATAGCTCTATGAACATAACTTTTCTATGATCTTTCCCTCTGCTCAAATAACTTTTGAAATCTTCTGTATGATTAAGTCATATGAATCTAAGAGACAGAATAATAGGATGATTCCAAATCTCCAAGAAAGGGATTCTACCCAAGCTGGAAGAAAGAGACAGACCATCTAAAATTAAATGATTCTTTGCAAAAGGCCTTTGGGTTTTTTTCCCCCTACCAGTGTTCTCACATTTTAAAAATGAGCTTTTCCTGATTTTGCTTAAGATTGCAGTTGGCATTTACCATTAGGTGCAGAATTTTGGGCTCCAAACTCTTACTAATACAAATAACAACATCCCTTAAGAGCCACATATTTTTTTTAATATGAAATTTATTGTCAAGTTGGTTGCCATACAACACTCAGTGCTCATCCCAAAGGTGCCCTCCTTAATACCCATCACCCACTTTCCCCTCCCTCCCACCCTCCATCAACCCTCAGTT